AAAGCTGAGAGCTTAGTTGTTCCTACTCATGATGAGTTTTAATTATGTTTATAGTCAGATTTTTTATGTTTTCTATGAGAATTTATTTCAAAAGAGATTCAGACCTTCTGTCTCGAACCAGTTAGTGGTTCCCTATCCAAAAAAATAAACACTTGTGCTTCCTGTTTGAGAGAAAACACTGGATTGGATTTTTCATTTTCCCTCCATCTGCCGTCTGTCCTCACAACAACCTCTCAATGTTTGAATTTCCATCACATGTAAGACCAGGGGCACTTTGCAAAGCACTTAATCAAGTACTGTAAAGCAAATCCAAGATTCAACATGAAGTCATGCAGTGTGCAGGCAGGTAGAAGCTGCCAGTGACGATCTTATTTGTTCAACTAATGATTTATTGACGTTAAAGGGGTTGTTCACCCAAAAATGAAAATTCCCTCATTGTGTACTCAGCACCATATGAAGGGGGGGTGGGTGAAATGTTTGAGTCCACACTGTTGGAGTTTCAGGGGTAAACAGCGTTGCAGCCAAATCCAATACAATTGAAGTAAATGGTGACCACTTCTTCAACCGTATAAAAAAGAACAAAAACAAAACAGACATTCAAATTTGAGTTTAACGGCATCATTTACACTGTGTTAGCCTAAATGTCCTCTGTGATCCAGAGGAGGACAACAGCAGACTGCATGTTTTTTTTGGTTCTTTTTTTATACGTTTGAAGAAGTGGTCGCCATTTACTTCAATTTTATTGGATTTGGCTGCAACACTGGAACTCCCAAAGTGTTCTGTGGACTCAAACACCTCTCCCACCCCTCCATCGGCACAGTGGTGGGTGGATAATGAGTGAATTTTCATTGTTGGTTGTGATGATCCCTTTAACACGGCACTCATAGCTGGTGTAAGAACCACGTCAGCCCGTCTCTGACAAAAAAACAGGTTTCTCCTCCATCCATTTAGGAAGAGCAGAGTTTAAGTGAGGTGTAGCCACAGTCACTGCGTCTCCAGCTGTGCAGAGATCACTGCAGCTTTCACTCACCCTCAGAGAGCCAGGGCCCCTCAGCGGTGACCCCACTCGCATCAAACTTGACTGCTCGTGTCCTGTCTGTGCGTAGTTGTCGTGTAGCCTGTGTCGCTCTGTCACAAGACATGTCCCACATTTGCAGCCGCCATCGCCGGCCAGCAGGATGAGAGTGTCTGTCAGGAGAGCTGACACGCATGCCACTTTGCTGGGCGACTGACAGAGGGCCACGCCACATTGTCACTTCTCCCATATCTATTGCCTGAGGATAAACATGGACACACACACACACACACACACATTAATAACACAAGAGTAAACAGAGCTGGACTCTCAGAGAGTGACTGACTGACAGTCTGACTGGATGACCGGCCCCAGCGCTGAGGATGCTGCAGCTCTGTGTCACCCCTCATTCTCACAATCTCCAGCTGTCACATCAAACGCTCTGCTCCTGCGCTCGCTCCGCCTCCAGACTCAACCCCAACACCACCGCCACCTTCCTCCACCCCCACCTCCGGCACTGAGACCTCATCAGGATTGTCTCCTGCAGTGAGAGAGGAGGCAGTGCATCGTCCGTCCTCACAGTCCCTGCGTATGTTGCCTCATTCTGTTGTCATCCTGTTGAATCTGCCGCAGGTTTGGTCGCAGAGGTAATTTTAAGACTTTGTACAATTCAGGAAACCGAGGTTTGTGAAAGCTGCACCAGATTCAGATTCAGCCTATGAAAGATTTGTATTAAAATGTCTCAGTCAGGCCTCAGGTCACAAAACTCCTTCGTACAGCTGCTAACCTCTTTAACATAAATCCTCCAATTCTAATAAAACGATGACAAACTCAACACAAACAAGCTACCAGTCTCTTCTCCTGTGCAACCCACCTCCAGTTTTACATCAGCTCTACATTTAAGGTTGGAATGAAAACCTTCTTCAGGTGAGCTGTGACCGATCTCTTGGTTGGGCTGCTATTGAGGCCTAGATTTCGGGGGGCTATATTCCCATGATGCACTGAGCCCTCCTCTCTCCCCCTTCTCTCTCTTGCAGAACCAATCAGTGGAGTTTTGAGGAGCCCCCTCCCTCGACCTTTAGAGGATAATAAATATGTCCTCATGTGTTGTTTACCAATGGTGGAAAATGAATAAGCACATTCTTTGAGAGTTTAAATATATTTTAATTAAATTAAATTAAATTAAATTTGTATGACGCCGAGCCATAATATACATCATCTCATGGTACTTATAAGGTTGAGACCTGGCTGAGATAATGACATCACTTGAGTATTTCCAGTATTTCTTACTTTGTGCTTGTACTCCACTACATCATGAAACATTGTACATGTTACTCCACTCTGTGATATTTTCAGTTGAGCTTGTAAAGCACAAAACAGTTTTAGAAATCAAACCACTGCGTTTTGCCTCTTGACGCTTTATATAACACGTCTCGTCTTCGGGTGCAGTTCCAGCAAAGAGACATTTCCTCTTAGTGCTTCTTAAATGTCATTCAATAAAGGTTCATGGCTCAAACAGTCAAAACTATTTGATATTTCAGGATGGAGCCTCGTGACCCCCCAGACTGGTATAAACTGGATAAAACAACCAAAGTGTAACTGAAGTCATTACCAGCTAAAAATACTTAAAGTCTCTGTTTGAGTCTCATAATGTTATATTTGATCGTATCTGCAGTATTTTTCATGAGTACACTGTCTGAATAGATGATGGATTATGTTCCATTGGAAGTTTTACTTTAAGGTTCATAAAATGTGTGTACAGTTTATCATCCCTAATCTCCCCAAGGTTTCCAGTGTGGCTGACATCTGGTGGCTGTCGAAGTCACAGCACAAAATCCACCTCATTGTCATTCTCGTCAAACCATCACGTGATTTTTCTGCACTGATTTATTCTGGTTTTTGTTTTTTTTTCACTCACACAATAACTTCCCCTCAGGTGCTGCTGCAGTTTGTTCCTGAACTTAGAGCGTCCCCTGATGGCTGAGAAGTAAATTGCATGGTTTGAAATAAATAAACAATTCAATAATGGAAGGATGCTTCTAATCTTGTCCTCTGTTTGTGATTAAAGGGTGACTGGAACCACGTCACATCTGTTTGGAATGTCTGAAGCTTCATCTAGCTGTTATTAATTTCTCTTTTCCTGTTACATGCCTGCATTGTATATTGTATTTACACTTTTATATATATCTATATTTGACTGGAGAGAGAAGCCTTTAAAAAAGGTAGAAAAAACTGCATTGCTTAGATTTAAAACTCATCATCTGGATCAGTTTGTCATGAATGATACTACTGCTGCATTTTAATTCATGATGTCTGAAATAACCATGAACTCACCTATGTATCCTTCAATTGCATCGTGGGAAATCCTCGTGTGACCTGTGAACAGAAACTGAGGTAATGATTGTTTAGTTTTTTTATAATAAACGCAGTACCAGAAACCTGCCAGTAGGTGACAGTGTGCATTCACACAAAGATATATACGACTGAACAGTGTTGAATCACATGTAATCTAGTCATGATATTAGTAACCATACAGAGAAGTGGATGCACTGTGGCATCAAAGCAGTGATGATGTTTGGGCTCACACAGAGATTTCTAATGTACACACACCACACCAGGACTCATGAATAGAGAATACAGCATGGACAGGGGACCATCAGGGTTTGAACCCATCCTCTTTGCCTCTCACATCTCTCAGCATGCTGTAGGTGGATATACATGAACCAGATATAGACATCAAGACCATCGGCCGCACGCAGCAGCTCTGTGCTCATCCCCGGCAACTCGCTCCAGTGTCACAGCTGTTTAACTCCAGTATTACTGGCCAATTAAGTATGGTGTAGTGCTGCCTTCTGGGACCTGCAGGCTTTGGAGTTCACGGCATGAGACTCCCAGAAGCTTGGGTCAGGAGGCTACAGGCTCTGGACATGAATGATTAATCTGGAAAATGACTTAGTGCTTCGCATCGGAGCTCGGTTCCTGGTAATAGTTAGCTGAATAAAACAAGAACAGCTGTTCTAGTTTAATGATGAATGTTTGCATCCAAATCAATGCCAGGAATAAAAGAAGACTAATTAATAATAATTATTATACCACATTCTAGGGCTAGGCGATACGGCCCACAAATATATTGGAGCATTTTTTTAAAATAATTATCACTTGTCGCTGAAGGGCTGATCTTATTTTATTTTCATGCAATAATGCAGAACTTCTGAACAATTTGGAGGCCAAAGAAAATAAATGAGAGCCTGAAGTCGTCAACTTGTGAAACCTCAAATATCCCAAAACCAATGTGGCAAACACGTGGTTCTCTCTTCAAGATGGACCTCTGGGTGTGAACCTGAAGTGGCCCATGTAGTAAAGGGTGAATATGACCCAAATAGCAAAAAAACTAATTCTGGCCCCTTTGGTGATGTGCGGTATCGCTGTAGCCCAGATTTGGCAAACAGCAGCGGAACGGCCAAGTGCCATATTTCATGCAGTATGTGGGCCAAGACCTTTTGCTATGTGGGGATCAAGAGTGTTTTGTACCTCCTCACTGTCCATATGCATTATATTGATATATTGAACCTTTGTTATTTTGATATAGATGAAAATATTGCGATAATTGCTTTTGTTTTATTGCCCAACCCTAAGATATAATACAAGTACTAACAGATTATTCACTTGTAGGTAATAAGAAAGAAACTCTACTTTTTACTTTCCTCTGCTGACCAGAAAAAAGAAATCAAACACACAGCATGAGCAACATTTGATGATTAAAGTTGGCTTGATCTTCAAAAAAGGCAGATTTGATGTTCATTAATCTGAACTGGTGTTTGAACAAGATCAAGCTCTAAATAGTATCAAAGATATTCATTTATTTAAAAGGAAATAGATAATACAAATGAATCCAAATCATTTGTGTCACATAAATGATTTCATGAATCATTAACAGCAGAAAGAATCGAGTTCTCTCATCAGGAAAAAAACAATTTGCCTTCTCTCTTGCAGACATCGCTCTTATGAGTTTTCATGACATGAGAAGTTTTGACACACGGCGCCTCCAAAAAGTGCTTCCTGGTGGATTATATACTGTACAGTGCAATGCCAAGTAAACAATACATCACATCTGATCATTCATTGGTAAACATCTTTTATATCAAAGAACGTAAGTGTTCAGAGTTTCATCAATACAGTACATTTATAGCAAACTTCACATACACCCTGGGCGACCTCCCAGTCTCAGAGTATTTCACATTTAATGATCTCCCTTTGGGATTCCACCATCACCTTCTGATTAGCGCTGCTTTTCTGCAACCTTCAGCTCAGTTCCTTGCGAGTGCAGCCTCAGCCGCTCTTCTCACAGTTCAGCTGCCCTCTGCTCTCCTTCACTTTGTCTCTCTGGCCCTCCGGAGCCTTGGGGTCTCCTCTCAAATCGCACACCACAGCTCGGAGGGTTTTGAACCTGTCCAGCCGGCCGCCCTGGCCCCCCTGGAGCTTGACCTCTGAACCCTGAGATGCACTGAGGGAGCTGAGGGAGCGCACGGCCGCCACGCCGCGCTCCTTTCCTGAGGGCCGGCGCGGCGTGGTCATGGTGCCCAGCTCCCCCGGGTGCTCCATGTCCCTGATGACCTCGCACAGGTAGCGGGCCAAGTCCTGGCTGGAGAAGGAGAGGGTTTTGTGGGAGCGGCGGAAGGTCAGAGGTGACGGCAGGGTTTCGGTCTCTGAGTGGGGGATGGCGAGGCGCAGGGCGATGGCTGCGCTGCCGTTGGACACCTCCTTCTTGTTGTTGTCCTGGGGAAGCTTGGTCTGCGGGTAGGAAATGATGCTGTGTGGGTAGCTGTAACGCAGGGACTGGGCCGGGCTGGGCTGGAGGGAGCGCTGCAGCTCCACCATGTTGAAGGCGTTCTGAGAAAAAAGGGACAGAAGAAAAGGAAAGAGAGACGGTTTTGTTTTTAGTTCCTGTGCAATCATTTGAATCTATTTAAAAAGATAATGAAAAACAACATTGCCACATGACACCAATCTGTGCTCAGAGCAGTGTAGCTGAGCTAATGCGTCTGCTGGTAAATGAACCTGCTCCAGAGACTAAGACGAAGATCCAGCATTTAGGAATAGATGTTGGCAACAACAGCCCCATTGATTAGCCAAGTAATTAATTATCTGATTGCAGAGAATGGGGGGGGGGGGGTTGTCTTATTTCCACCTCTATTAAAACATAGCCATTAACAGCTATTGGGGTCCAACTGCTTAATTTCAGCAAAGCATAGATCTCCAGGGAACTGATATTTAGTTTTCATTCAAAGGCACAAACACCGAGCTCTGATAAATGTTAATACAGTTTTTGTTAATTTACTTTCTGCCATTATTTGTGTTATAATAACTCAATGACATTTAAAACACATGGAAATGAGAATTTATGCAAGTGCCATATTTGTTCCTGGGGTGAACTCCTCTTTATTTCCTGTTTATTTATCTCCCTGCTTGTCTAAATATCACCTCTATACTTGTTTGCCTGGTCTTGCTCCCCTACACGCTCCTCATCGTAGTTGAGCACGTTCCCCCAGATGCCAAATCAATTAAGAACCTAAACAGGAGCCATATTTGTTCCTGGTGTGGACTCATTTACTTCCTGTCGAAATACCAGCTCTATACGTGTTTACCTGATCCTCCATCCTCCTCATTGTAGTTTCGATATCTAAAAGTATTGTTATAAATGCCACATCATTATTAGTTCTTGTAAATCTAAAGACGGATTTTTGCTCCTGAATGAAGGTGAGGGTTTTAAACTCTTAATTGAGCATAGAATGACAAACACAATTTTTTTTTTACAAAACTCTGGTCAATGTATTATCATTTGGTTTTTATTTGAAGGCTCAAATAAACACCGCTCTGTTAATGTCAATTTTACTTTCAGCCATTGTTCATGTTGTTTTATTTTCTTTGACATTTAAAACACAAGAGAACTGAAGCCAGTGACATATTTGTTCCTGGTGTGGACTTCACCTTTCCTGTAGTTGTCACAGATGTCACATCAGTCGCTATCAATAATTATCGCAATAAGTGAAGGTTGTGAATTTAACCCCCCCCCCCCTCGCTGCATCTCTAAATACCACCTCTATACTTTATGTTCACCTGCTTTCCTTCGCCTTCCTCAATACAGTCAAACACGTTCCTCTGGATGTCATATCAGTCGATATCGATAATTATCTCGATAAATATTGTTAAAGGACCTGAGTTAAGGTTGTGGAGATAAATTGCAAAACATTGTACTCGCTCCCTCAGTCACACAGATCTCCAGGGAACAGATATTTGGAACCATTAACTCAGTGCTGTAAATCTTTGCTGATTTACTTTCTGCCCTTATTTGTGTTGTTTTATTTCCTTAAATATAACCCAGTGGCATTTAAAACTCATGGACAGGAGAAATTAAGTAAGTGACATATTTGTTCCTAGTGTGGACGCCCTCCCTCGTCTCCTTAAACACTTCTTATATATGTATTCACCTGGTCCTGCTCGCCTCCTCCCTCCTCGTCGTAGTTGAGCACGTTCTCCCGGATGTCCTCCCACTCGCCGTGGTGCGCCGACACATGATACACGCCCTCCTTCAGGCCCTTGTGCCTCCTCCAGCAGGAGTAGAGAAACAGGCCCAGCATCAACACTGAGGGGTGCCAGAGAGCAGGTTAACACAGCAGGGGCCAGGGGGGGAGGAAGGGAGGGGGGAGTGAGTGAGTAAGACGGCGCTCACATAATTACAGTTGAGATGCTGAGAAGAAAAACATATCTCTGGGTGTAAATGAAATCGACAACGTGAGCGGAAAGCAATGACACCAGACGGCTGAACAAAATGAATATATGCATTTTTAAATCAGATGCAATAGAACAAGTCAACATCCTTGAGGATAAATAGATAATGCCGACTAATATTCTGCCTGGAAACCTCACACTGATTTCTCCTGTAGAACCTATTATTTGCATTGACTGCACAGTTAAGACATACTAATGGAGCACGCATGGAAACGGGGGCCCCACCTTCCCACCTATTTCCCTTTGATGCTCGCCGTCTTATCAAACGCCACAGCTCCTCGGAAACCTATTAACTGAATCTGTACTCCTCCCAGCTTAAACACAAAGCCTCCGCGGCTCGGCCGAACGCGGAGAGGAGTGCTGCAGGAGCCGAGCAGGAAAAGGTCCTAAAGCATACACATCAATCACGGCTATTGTGTGCTGAATTATACAACATGCTGGACTGACCTTTAAAGTCCATTAATCTCAACCAGTATTTTTCTCCCATCTGCCACCCCTCCCTCTCTTTCCCTCCTCCTTGCTATCTGTTTTTACAAGTTCAGACTCTTTCTTGTTTTAATCTGTATTTCTTAGCAACTTTTTTTTGGTCTCTCTCTCTCTCTCTCTCTCTCTCTCTCTTTCCATCGGAACTTCCCCCCGTCTTTGTCTTCCTCACTCATTAAGACTCTCGCTGTTCCTATCTTCAGTCCCTCTCTGGCCTCTGTCTGGCCTCTGCTTTTATCTCTCACACTAGATGGGATCCATTTCAACTAGAAGAGTTTATATGGTGTGTGCCAAGTATCGGTTTAATTGGAAATCTTTGGAGAAATGTGGGGTAATCACATTAGTCTGGATTTTTAAAAGTAATTCCTTCAAAAGATAATAACGCACCGGTGGCTCTTTGGGGGTCGCCCTAACAAAGACGAGAAAAAACAACTCCCCGAGAGCTTCTCCCTGCTTAAAAAGCATCACCTCTGTCTACTCGCTGCCCGGAATATCTTTTAACACCTCAGCTGTTGCACCTTTCTATTTCTATGCTGCTAACAAATCACGTAGAAACAAAGAGATTGTAAGCCCCCCTACCCCCCCTTGCTCCTCAGCCAACGGTGGATGGAGGGGAGAGCGGCTATTGATCAGCTGACCCAGCTCCTTCACCGCAGCATCCAGAGCGCCCTGGCAGAAAACACTAGAATCTCAATGAGGCGTGGAGCCAACCGGGCGATAGGTCCCTCCTCCTCACCTCCAGAATCACCTGCTCCGAGGATCTGCCTGCAGGCGTGCGCTCACCTCAACCCCCAACATCACCTGAGCTGGTATTAAACACATCTCTGTGGGGGGGGGGGCACCAAACCCTCCATCACAAACACACACACACACACACAATTAGGCACAGGTAAACACACATTTGCTGACACACTCTGCTGGTTGCGTGTGTGTGTGTGAGCAGCAACATTCCAGTGAGATCAATATCACCCAGGGTGGAGAACAGACCTCGCAGTCATTCATCAATCCGTAATGCTGCTGCTTCTTTGCTCTCTAACCAACAGGGTATTATGATGTTAGCCTGGACCAGACGGTGCATTATGAATGAGTGTCGAGTAAACAACTACAACACACAGTGTAGCTTGGTCAACACCACTTAACCCTTTCACTCAGGCTCAGGGAGGGAAAAATGAGGCAGATTCAAAATGAAGGGTTTTGGGAGCGAACGGACGAAGCAACAGGAGGAAAATGAGACAGGTGAACGATGGGGACGAGTTGGAAAAATGATTTATTTATTAAATCTCTCAGGGAACATAAAAAAAAGAAAGAAAGAACAGGCACTTTACATGATCACTTGGCATTCACAGGCCCATATGGGAGAATCATTTCTTCCATCCTTCAGAAACACAAGAGCGTCAAATTTGCTGCTGGACTAATGAGGCCTGGACAGACATCGGCTCATCTGGCTCCGTCTGTAGCTTCACGCTGAACTCGCACTCTGCTCGGCGTGTGATGGCTTGTGTAAAACTTAATAATGGATGATTGCTTCAACTTTTAATGCATGTTGAGGCAGAGCAGGAGTCCCCTTTTAATTTAGCACCCAGCCAGAAGTCTTGCGGAGCGCAAGTGTGTACTTATGGCAGTGGCTCCTGATGAGGATCATCGCTGAACAACTGTTGTATAACCAGCTGGTCATTAAAACCCAACCACTGGATCGAGGAGTGTTGATCATGAGGTAAAACTGGCTCTACTTGTAAAGACTAAGATTAATTGAGCTGTTTTATTTGAATAATAAGCTTGAAAATATGCAGTCGACAAACAATGACTCTTTTAAATGTGAAAAATTTGATCCTTGAATATAAATGCCTCATCAGCGACAGCGGGCAAGCCACTTCAAATGGGGCTACACACATGGATTTTCATGAATTAGGCCAAGGCCCCACTTTATCATCTTTGAATTCATTATCAAATATTGAAGACCGCTTTATACGCTTCACTCTCAAGTGTCAGAATAACTGATGTCCCAATACCGGCCACATGCCCTGCAGGGAATGTTGAGTCAGTTATAAAGGCAGGGACAGAGTATTGAATTGCCCAAGCGTTTTATAAGCCCGGCTCTGACAGAAAGACTCATAAACAGCGATGTGGCCCTACAGAGGGTAGTGAGTGCAACAACATGCAAGCCGCTCGCGCACACGCACGTTCGTCCTTGTGAGGATGCGAGAAATCACATTCCCTCAGCTACCCTTTAACGCAATTAACTCGGCCCTGTCCCGAGTGTTGACAAAGAATTAAAGGGGTAGCTCATCTGTTTTGACACAGGAGTGGTGGTTTGTTTCACCATATCAATGCATACATGTTTAAAAAGCCTCTGCTGGCTGCACATGCTATAGGTTTATTTTGAATCTTGATGCTAGTAGACCACACACAACTTAGAATAACGGCATCAACCCAGAACTGCTTACACAAGTGGGCCGGCGTCGTTAACAGGATCAAGTCTCGAGCTGAAACACTGAGCTGATTAATCGATCAGCGGAAAATTAATCAGCAGCTGGACCGATTAATCATTTTCACACCCAGGCAACAAACACCAAATGTGAGGAATTGAGTGAAGAATTGATACGATTATCACGGCCCCCGTTATTCTTGTGTTCTTATTTATCACAGTTTAAATTGTTTATTGTGAGATTTCCTTTTTTATTTTACCCACAAATAAAGAATAATCCTCTCACCTTTTGTGCTGACTGCATTCTGCGCTTTAGCAGTGAATGTGCTGAGACTGTGTTAGTGTAACGTTTAGTCCTGAAATACATGATAAATCATTTTTAGTTTTTCAAGTATCACCGAAATAAATAAATATCTATGTGAAGCTAAAAACCAGTTTCAAACAAACATAAAGCCCCAGAAGTGATGGTCAATGATTTAAGAGTCTAT